TCTTTAGCGCAAACATATAGTCTTTATCCCACTGCCAGATTGCTTCTTTCTTGAGCAACCTGCGAAGGGGAGTGACGATAGTCGAGAAGTTCCTCACGAACTTTCTATAGTAGTTAGCTAGGCCTAGGAACGACCGCAACTCGGTCAATGTGCGGGGCGTCGGCCAATCTCTAATCGCCGCTATCTTGTTGTCCTCAGGCTTAATGTTGTCTCCGTCTAAAACATGGCCCAAGTACAAGACTTGTGTCTTGGCCCACTCGCACTTCTTTGCGTTGATCTTGAAGTTAGCCTCTCTCAGCTTCTCCAAGACCTGCCTCAAATGACCCTGATGCTCTTGGAGGGTCCTACTGAATACTAATATATTGTCTAGGTACACTACAACAAATTTGTCTAACCATGGCCTAAACAAATCGTTCATACAACGCTGGAACGTGGCAGGCGCACTGGTTAGTCCGAAGGGCATCACTATGAACTCATAGTATCCATATCTAGTCCGGAATGCAGTTTTGTACTGGTCATCAGGATGGACCTCTATCTGATGATATCCGAACTTTAAATCGATCTTCGAAAAATATCTGCATCCCTACACTCGATCTAAAAGATCGTCTATCATGGGCAGTGATTTGGCGTTCTTTACTGTGATCGTGTTTAGACCCCTATAGTCTATACACATCCGTAACTCTCCTTCCTTTTGGGGGACAAACAAAACTGGTGCTCCAAAAGGAGATGAACTGGGCGGTCTGGGCCTAATCCAACCCTTTTCGAGGAGCTCGTCTAACTACTTTCGCAGCTCCTCTAACTCCCTTGGGGACATCCTGTAAACTGCTCCCTTAGGAGTCCTACTCCCACGGCCTTGACCCTTCGAAGGAGCTACAGCTATGGCTTCTAGAACTCGCTAAGACTCTTATTCGACAGGTCTACAGATCGAACCTCTGTAACCTACAGACCTACGACAACCTACCAACTGTGGGAAAGACACAGGTCATGGGTTCAACTCCTGGGGTCGACACAAATACTGTACACAGGTAAGGTAAAGACTAGGGATTGAGCCCTGGGGTCTGCATCGGCTACTGCGAACAGGTGAATATCGTTTCAAGAAGAAAAAGAAGAAAGAAAGAAGAAGAAGAAGATGTACACAAGCATAGACCAATGATAATGCTCTTCTTCTACGCCAACCACTCTCCTCCTTCTTCTCTCTTCCCCTCTTATTCAAACAAGAAATAATAATAACAATGTTGAATGGCTGAACTAGAATCAATATCTGAATCCCACTTCTACGGTAGGTATTACATGAGGTCCACTATAGTCATGGCCGCACTTCTTCCGCCTTCCTCCAAGGCTGAAGCTATGGCGGACTACCAGGGCATCGCCCTGCTGTCCAAAGGACAACACAAAGCAGCAGCTGCTATGGGTGCTGTAGCTCAGGCCGCCATGCCTGACTCTGCCTCGAAGCTTCTTGGTGTAGCTCTCCCCAACTGGGACCTTCCTGCTGCAGCGCCCACCACGGTGATGAAGATGGCAACCACCATAGCCAGGTAAGTACCTCTGGCGCTCCCCCTTCCTAGGCCTGGTCTTCTTCCTCCCTCATGTCCTTGCTCCTTCCCCAGGAGCGCTGCTCCAGCCAGCGCTCCAACCAGTGTGTCACCAAACTTGCACACCGACAATGAGGAGCACCTTGCTCCTCCTGGAGATATAGCGGCCTGCTTGCCTCTTGATGAGTGACGTCCTAGGCCGCCCGGCCTCCAAGCAACTGGTACCTCCTCCCTTTCGGAGGGAAACATCATTGCAGACTCTGATATTGCCCGCACTCGCTTAGACCTGCCTACAACTACTGGGCCTCTAAAAATGTCAACTTTTGTCTTCTTCTGCTCAGCCTCGAGTACCCGGCACATCTACCTCTACCTGGTGTGGTACCGGCCTACCTGCTACTTGAGTGTTTTCTGCTGCTTCAAGTGTCGTGGGCCTCTTTCCCCGCCACTTGAGTGTTTTCCCCGCTGCAATCCTCAATGTCATGGCCACAGGTACGTACCGGCCCTTCGGGCCCAATGAACCAACAAGTGCCCTTGCGGGTCACACACACACTCAAGCCGACAAGCACTCAGACAGGAATGCAGACCGGCAAGCATGCACGCACACAGACTTAGAGAACTCAGCAACAAGCGGGAAACTCAACATTTTGAAGGCATTCATTCTATAAGCAAAACTCAGAAATCAGCTGTGCGTCTCAGTCCGTGTTTGGCAGGTCATTAAAGACCACACGATGGTATATATTTGCCAGAAATTGCCGCTAAAATTTGCCAACCAGCTTTGATCCAATCAGCGCTGACTCCCCCCATAGTGTAGAGGTATACCTCAATTATTATTTTATAAATTCAAATCATCAATCATTAATTTGTTATTATTAACTTATCTGCCAAATGCAGTGTTTTCCTATATCGATTCTATGAAGGGAATGCAGTTCTGACCAAAATCTCCACGGTAAAAAAAAGTGCAGAAATCCTCTCGACTACTCTCTAATCCTCTCTAGTCCTCTCTGATCGTCTTTTATCTTTCCGAATTCGGTGTATACAAAAATCCTCTCTAATCCTCGCTAGTCCTCTCTCATCTTCTTTTATCTTTCCAAATTAGGAATATCGCAAGCAATCAACTTTGGACTTCAAAAAGACTACGCAAAACATTCGTTGACTTCAAGAACAAAATAAATGTGCCCCATGAAGTGGGGTTTCCAAGGGTTGGCAAGAAAGATCACTAATAGCCTCTTGGCCCTCTTCTGCCAGGCTTGGTACCTCATAGGAGAAGCTATGGCTGTCTGGGGGCTAGGCTAGGACATACATGAAAATGGAAACTGCCGAAGTAAAATCTCCAACCTCCTCTCTAATCTATGAATTTCGATTTAGGAATATCCCAAACAATCGACTTACAACTTCACAAAAACTACAACACATGCAAAATGCATTTCAGAAGGACAAAACATAAACACCCAATGAACTGGGGTTTCCAAGTTCCAACAGTCTATTAGAAATTTCACTATCCTCTCCTCCTGTTCCCCTTCAAGGGAGAAGGTACTCTCTCTCTCTCTCTCTCTCTCTCTCTCTCTCTCTCTCTCTCTCTCTCTCTCTCTCTCTCTCTCTCNCACACACACACACACACACACACACACACACACACACACACACACACACACACACACACACACACACAGAGCCACCCTTGGTGACCGCGACATACATCAAAATGTAAATTAGACCAAGAGTAGCCTCAGGGCCAGGGCGGAAGTCGACATGTATTAACTACTGATAAACCAACAGTACGTCTGACCATCGCCTTGCAGAGCCTGGAAACGCCCTGTGCGCCCAGAAAAGCTGAACCCATGCAGGCCCTCACTCTTTTTGCAGGATCCGCCAGCCATTTTGCTCCGGTAGGCCAATCCCCAAAACTTGTAGCGCCAGCAGGCCCGAGTGCTAGGAGTAAAATGCCTGGGCCGCCCAGGGGTCCAAATGCCCTGCACAACCAAAAATTCAAACCGACACAGGCCTTGTTTTGGCTGGCATCGCCAGCCATTTTGCTCCAGTCGCCCACCCCCAAAAGTTGCGGCAGCATGCAAGCCGCATCTGAGAAAAATGTCTGGGAAACGTACTGGCAGTAAAATATACCCAATGTGTCGGTGAAGAATATCCCTTGTAAAGCCCAGAATAAAGGCATACTCACATGCTACCTACCCCTAGTACCCGCCAATAGTATGGAAATGTTTTTTCTTTTAGGGGGGGGGGGGGAGTCTAAGAAACTGGGTTTGATGGGTCTTGTGGGGGCTCCATAGCCACATGGTAGGCACAGGCTGGGAGAAGATTACACTAGTAAGATAAAGGAATCAACTTGAGGGGAGAAGCAAAAAAAACAACAACAACTTACAAGTTGGTCAAGAATAACTACGACGCCAAGCTGAGTCGGGATCTCAGTATTGGCAGACCGCAACTCCTATGCAAATTGAAACTGACCATAATTTTGTCTACTACATAATATGATAATAATAATAATGACAATAATTATTATAATAAGACCTTAGTTGACAACTGACAGCATCAGATTCTGTTATCAGTTTGCTCTGCACTTCCTCGTCTCGGAGATGGAGGAATTCTGAACCAATGGAGGGCAATGGGCATCAATGCCGCATCATCAATACAGCGGGGTTGAGCGGGTGCCAAGTCCCACTTAGGCTGACTCTTCATTTCTGGCTGGCCGTTGATCCTCCGAATCTACGGTCAGAAATTGAGAATACGGGTACCAAGTGGGACTTGGCTCCGACACCGCTGCCAGAAATCCCGGTGTCTCCTTCATCATCATATAGTAAAGGAAAACGTAATTAAAGATTATGAAGAAAAGGTAAAGCCTTAAAGGTAATAAGATGAAGCCCAGTCATATCCGCCTTGGGCACTGGGCCCGGTTTGTAAAAAAAAAAAAAAAAAAAAAAAGATGCAGCCCATAGTGTAGAGGTATACCTGGAAAGCGAGAACTAAGCAGGTCCCCCCAGCAGCCAAAAACTCGGTATATACTATATAGTATTTACCCTGTCCATGTGAGTGCATGGGACAATAGGACATCCATGGACTGTTGATCAAAAAAGGCCTGTCAGTGATTCCTGAGTTTGAATCCTGACAGACTCAGATTGAGTGAAGTCATTATACTAGCTCTGAATTACCTGGGGCCGGTCAGTTGGATGATGATCCCTCAAGGCCATCAACGCCAACAAGGGAAAGAAAACACTTTTAATATGTTCAAACAAGTACAAAGACTTTGGAGAGGAGGACTTCTTTTCTCAAAGCACAAGCCCACAGGGGGGGTAACCGTTTGGCATTTCATGCGAGGCTGCCCTCATCATGCCAATAAATGTGGTTCGGCGAACATCTTCTCACTGACAACCAAAACCAAAAAAACTAATAGGCTCTCTACTTCCTTGCAAGTTATCATCTCAACCCTGTCGAACATAATGAGGGGTCATGATCACGGGTATTCACGGCCCAGATTTAGGGTGTGCGTACATTTCTCCCAGGGAGTTTCGCCATGACGATTACTGTCCTCCGGAATGGTCGTCCAGCCGGGCTAGCCTTTCCAGGACGATGCTCATCCGCGGCCGCAGCTCTGGACTGTTGGAGATGCAGTCCATGGCAACCTCCGCCATGCCGCTGACAGCACACCAGTCCACATTGCTGTCTCTTCTGAGGAGGTTCCTATCTGAAATCTGTTGAACACGTTCCATGAACCTTTCCCCGGCGTTTATCGTCGTTGCTGGCACTGACACGACTGATATTTCTGAGGTATCCGGTGTTTCCTTGTCGGCCGGGGGCGAGGACAGGTCTCCCAGCACTCTTGTCATCCAGGAGGCAAGAGTCAGTGATATGATCTCCTGGTCCTCCTTCTCCTCTACCCTCGCCACCTTCTTCTCCCCCCAGCTAGTGGGGAACGACCCCCCGAACGGTTTTCTACCTGTTATGAGTTCCAGGAGGACTACCCCGAAAGCGTACACGTCATTCTTGGTCGTAAGTCGGCATGAGGTGTAGTACTCAGGTGCTATGTACCCGAGAGTTCCCACCACACGGATAGTGTCCACTGTCTCACGAGGCTGAGGTTGGCCGAAGATGCTCTGCCCAAGCTTCGCCAGCCCAAAGTCTGAGAGATAAGCTCTCACAGTCGGCTGCCGACATACTACCCCCTCCCCTTCCCCCCCCCCCCCTCCCCCCCCCCCCCCCCCCCCCCCCCCCCCTCCCCTCCTCCCCCCCCCCCCCCCTTCGCCTGTGGATCCATCCTCCAGCAGCACGTTCTTGCTCTTGACGTCTCTGTGGATGACCGGTGGGTCTACTTCTTCGTGCAAGTAGCGCAATGCTCTACCGATCTGGCGGGCAATGGAGAGTCTATCTGGCCAGCTCAGTGGTGGTCTCCGCGACATGCAGCTGGAGCCTGAGTAGCTGTTGTTGCTGCCGTATAGATTGACGTCCTTTCCTGCCGGATATTCCACGCCTTCCCTCAGGATGGCTCCTTTGTTGCCAGTATGCTGGGCAGACGACCTGCCACCCTCCTCCTCATCGTGGATGAGCCCAGGCTCAGCAGTGGTGGTGGTGGAGCAGGAGGCGGATGTCGTGCACCGCAATCGATCGTGAAGCGTCCCTCCTTCCGCCAAAGGAGAGTAAATGATCATCGACCTCCCGCCCTCTGCGCAGTAGCCGATGACGCTGCACAGGTGGCTGTGCCGGAGTGTGGCCAGCACATCTAGCTCTGCTTGGAATTGATCAAACTTCTCCTCAGAGAACTCACCCTTCATTACCTTCACAGCCACAACTTGCCCGTCGCTGAGCTGTCCTCTGTACACGTCAGCCGCCCCTCCCCTCCCCACCAATCGCGTCGGGTTAAAGCCGTCACACGCCTTGCGGATATCCTCCAACGAGTACACTCTCACCAGAGTCTCTCGTCTCAGCAGAGCCCTAGCAGCAGCTCGTGGACTCCGTGGGCCCCTTGGCATTGCCCATTCCCTGCCTCGTACTTCCCAGTGCCAGAACCAGGACCGCAAGCAGCGCAGCCTCCTCTCTATCACTGCACCAGAGAGGGCAAGAAAGATTAGCACAAAAAATGCTCCCACCCCAATGAAGATGCCCACTGCAGTTCGACGAGAGGAGTGAGATGCTGAAGGAGGAGCTGAAGAGAGAGTTGAAGCAAGATTCTGAGCTGGTGGAGGAGGAGGAGGAGGAGGAGGAGGAGGAGGAGGACCAGGAGAGGCACCAGCACCAGAGCTTCTGGGTTGGCAAGCAGGCAGGGCTGTTCTGTTGACAGCTAACTCCCAAATCTGGAAGTCCGGTCTTCCTATATAAAGCACCTCGTCGTCCGGCGAGAGGGCCATTCCCATCAACACCCAGGAGCTTCCCCCGTCGGCACGAACTGCCCTGGCGACGGTTCGAACGCTGACAGCGGGACCACCACTATACTCGAGTGTGACCAGGTACAGGCCTCCTCCGGCGAAGTCCGACACAAATAAATGGCACCCATCGGATGTCAAGGCGAGCCCAATGGGCTCACGAAACTTCGAATCTGCTGCGGAGCCTGTTCCAGCGACCGTCTCCACGGCTCCAGAGGCCGTCTTCACCCTTCTGATCACCGAGTTCAAGCTGTCAGCCACGTAGAGGAGCTCGCCGTCAGCAGATATGGCGGACGAGCTGAGGAAGGGACCGTGGAACCTCACGGCTCCACGGTCATCCCCGCTACTATCCTGAAGACCAACTACACTCTCGTCAGGACCAATCCACCTCTCCAGCAGGGGGGCATTCCCCCCTTCCCTGCTGACCGACAGGTTCATCCGGTACAGCGCACTCGGCGACGATCCGTACAAGATCCGACGGTTCGCGTCCCAGGCCAGACTGAGGAATCGCGATTCGTTCAGAGTAACCGGCACGTAATCGAGCACAGAGAACGCAGGAGGAATCGAACCGTCGTCGACGTTGTATGCATGCAGAGAGCGGTTGAAGGGCTCCGCTATTATGGCAATCCTGTTCAAAGAGGTGCCATTTGCCGACGCCATGATACCACCGTCCACGGCGTCCAGCACTGCCAAGGCCTGGGGAAAACCTCCGTCGCCTGGAGGGAGAGAAGGAGGAAGCCAACGCCCTGCAACTCGCGAGGCATTACTCGGTCCTTCCCTCGACTTCGTGGTGTCGAACCTCCATAGCCCATAGTTCATGAGGAAGAACAACGACCGGTCCGCGGGCGAGAATGAGACCGACCACACTTCAGACGACGGAAGGTCAGCAGCTTTTGTGAAGTCGCCAGCTGGAGTGACAATGTCTGCAAAGCTCATCGGGCCTCCACGTGGCAGCGTCAACAAATTCTCATCAAGGACCTCATCTCTGTTGGTAATGGATTCTTCCGGCAGCTCTCGACGCTGCTCCAGCTCCCGGCGCCATATCTGATGCTCACGGTGATGAGGATGGCGATGGCGATGGCGATGGCAAAGACGAAGACGAAGACGAAGACAAAGACGAAGACGACGACGAAGATGGTGGTGATGATCATGCTGCACGTACTGCTCCTTAGCCTGGGGATCATGTCGAGAGTAATCATGCGGGCGACTATCGCCATCTTCCAGAATCCAAGGAGGTATCCCAATGCCTCGGCCGGTACCTTCATGGAACGCCAAGGACGAAGTCGATGATGGCAACACCGAAGAGAACACGAACGAGGGGGAGGAGGAGGAGGAAGGAGATCTCCGACTACCTCTGCTGCCACCTTCATGGAACGCCAAGGACGAAGTCGATGACGGCAGCTCCGAAGAGGACACGAACGAGGAGGTGGAGGAGGGGCAGGAGGAGGAGGAGGAGGAGGAGGAGGAGGAAGGAATTGTCTGAGTGCCGCTGTTGATATCTTCATGAGATCTCAAACACGAAGGCGATGGCGACGGCTCTGACGAGAACACGATGGACGACGACGACGACGACAAGGAGGAGGAGGAGGAGGAGCGAGGATTTCTCTGAGTGCCACTGTTGCTACCTTCGTGAAACCTCAGGGACGAAAGCGATGGAGACGGCTCCGAGGCGGACATGCTGAAGGACGAGGAGGAGGGCACGGAGGAGGAGGAGGAGGAGGAGGAGGCGGATTTGGCGGCAAGTATTGAGACGAAACCAAAGTTCAAGTTGGCATCTTCGATATGCCACGTGGCAGTGAGTGCGACAGCGAGTAACAACTGTGAAATACTAAATTGCGACCATGCACACGGGTTAACTACCTGCCGCCTACTCCTCCTCCTCGTCGTCGTCGTCGTCATCGTCGTCGTCGTCGTCGTCTTCTTCCCCCTCCCCTTCCTCGGTATGATCATCACCATCGCCACCACGTTTATCATCATCATCATCATCATCGTTGTCGTCGTTCGCATTATCGTCATCGGACCAATCAATCGAGGACTCACGTTTTCATCATGCTGAACAAGCATTCAAATTGAGTTTTTCAGCATCCAAATTAAGAAAAATAAATAAATAAATAAAAAGCAATCAAATTGATTACACTGCGGTAACGAAGCGCGCCAAGGAGATGGATCGAGACTTCAACAAAAAAAAAAAAGATTAAAAAAAAAAAAAAATGAAGCTCCGCAACAGAGACTACGTGAAGGAGAAGGGTCGTACTATCCTATCCGTCGTCGTCTTCGTCGTCTTAGTCGATTGCATCATCATTATCATCATGGTGGGGCCAGCAAGCACAGAAACAAGTGCTGAAGAAGCCGGAGAGCCTACTCTACGAGGTGAAACGCCTCATCGGACGTACTATCCATTGCGAATCGATCAGTGAAGAGGAGAAGAAATGGTCATCATCATCATCATCATCATCATCATCGAAAGATTGGAACCAATCAAATGTCATCACCATCGCCACTGCGTAATAGCCATGTCTAGGGTGAATCCCGGTGGATGGCTCACTGCAGTATACCGTTTACCGACAGCCACGTGTGCATGCATACATACGGTGCAGGTATTGAACGGATTACCTCTCTATAGCAACAGTGAAGACAAGGAAAGAGAGTCGTGAGCATGAAGGAGGAGCAAGGAGACGACAGAGGGCCAGGCCGATAAACAGCAACAGCTATGGTGTCATCGTCCTCTGGCAGAGAAACAACGCTGTCATACATTCTTTCGACGTCCTTCCGCTCTTCATCAACGTCCCTTTCTTTTTTTTTCTTTTTTTTTAATCGTCCTTTTTTGGGTGCTCAGTCTGTGCACATAGGGATTTAACGGCTACTGAAAAAAAAAAAACAAAAAAAAACAAAAAAAAAAGGAGCTAGTGTTTCCGTAGCCATTGCAGCGTGCGAAGGCTCCAATTCCAAAGCAAAGAGTGGTCGTCCTTATTAATGTTCTTTTTCTTTGTTCTTTTGTCTTTTTTGTTTTGTTCTTTTTTTTTTTTTTTCCCTTTTTTTAAGTTACCCCTTTTTATTGTGGCTGAAAAGCGGGGCCCGGCTCAACCGACTGGCCTAGCTCAGTTGGTACAACCCTGAGCTGTTGAAATACAGCCCTGAGTTCGGACTCCACTGCAAGCAGACATTGGGTGTCGCCGCACGGCACGCGATACGAAAACGAAACGAGTGCATCTGCCCAGGAAAGCTGGCAACATACACTCGTTACTATTTATAGCAAACCGATGAACCTGGCCATTTTCTGCAGGAAGATGCACTCGTTTCGTTTTCCGTTTCGTGTCCCGTGCGGCGACGCCCTTTGAGTAAAACACTTCAATTCTGAAATACCTATAGGGTCCTTCGGGACATCCGTTAAAATTGGAACGATACAGAGAAAGAAGAAGATTAGCATGGCCCCTGCGCAAGGATGACACGCATAAATCGAGAAATGGTCCAAAT